TTGATCTATTTTCAAGTTCAAAAAGTTCGATTGTTTGATTGATTTTGTTTGATTTCGATAAATTTACAGAAAAATAGATTGATTTTCAAGGAAATCAATCAATCTTTTCTCTTTTTGTTCTTAAAATCGATTCGTTGTTGAGAAAAATAGCTTGTTTTCCCTTTTCTCTGACAACAGACAAATGCGATGATTCACTAGCCGTTGTTTTCTTGTTTAAGAATACAGAAACATTCGTTTTTTTGTTCCAATCGTTTCGATTTATCCAATCGTTTAGATTTATTTATAGTTTTGTTTTTTGAAACGCACACGACCTAACGTACTGCTTTATTCGATTTTGTATTAAGAATGATACTTAAGAATGATATTAAGAATGATTATTAGTTCATTAAAATTAGCAAAATGGAAGAAGAAGACAGGAAGAAGACAGGAAGAAGGCAGGATAGAGCCAGGAAGAAGACAAGCTGAGAATTTGAGTGTTAAAAAGTCTGTATCGCTTTGAAAACTTTTCCAAACTTCTCCAAACTTTTCGCCAATCATAACCCTTGTATTTATCTAATTGTAAGCATCTAATCCTATTCAGCAACAGCAGTTGATAATTTTTAAAGCTAAAATAGAGCCAATAGAGCTGGTTAAAATAGAGCTGGTTAAAATAGATCTGGCTAAAATAGAGCTGGTTAAAATAGAGCTGGCTAAAATAGTCCTGACTAAAATAGAGCTGGCTAAAATAGAGCTGGTTAAAATAAACCTGGCTAAAACCTGGCTAAAACCTGTCTAAAATCTAAATCTAATGCAGACTTTCGAAAAACTTCGAAAAACTTCGCTAAACTTCGCTAAACTTTTCCAGACTAGACAGCGATTGATCTCTCACTTTTATCACTTCGATTTCCCCCATTTTCTCCGTTCTTTTGGGTAAAGGCCAAGATTTTGTTTGGAGGGAATCAATTTGATAAAGAAAAAGGAAATAAAGAAAAAGAAATAAAGAAAAAGGGGCAGTTTTAGCGGGTGAAAGAAGAGAAAAATGATAGTGACGTGTCATTTTTCCCGTTTCTTTTCCTCCATTTGATCTCTCTCAGTCTTATCTTTTGCCGCAAATCACCAATTTTTTGTTATACTAGAAATTTAGCCCTAAATTTTTGCTCAAAATTTTTCCCCAAAATTTTCCCGAAAATTTTTCCACAAAATTTTTGGGCTTTTCTTTCTTAAGAGTTAATAAAATTACTTAACAACCAAGATCAATGGGGGTTTAAAAGGGCGATTTTTAGCCCGGGTCCTGTGACAGGTTTGGCTAAGTGGATAGCGATCTGGTTTTCAAGGCTAGAGGCCCGGGTTCGATTCCGTTTTCTGCTTTTTGCCTTTTTTTAACAGTTTTCAGTTTAAAAAACAGTTTTCTTATGAAAGTCTATCAATGAATTGATTCAAATGAATTCAATTTCCATACAAAATCCTCCTCTTTACAACAAAATTTCGTCCTCTTTGGTTAAAATGGTTATTCTTTATCCTGGTCTCGTAACAGGTTTGGCTAAGTGGCTAGCGATCTGATTTTCAAGGCTAGCGATCTGATTTTCAAGGCTAGCCATCTGATTTTCAAAGCTTCAAAGCCCGGTTCGATCCCTCTCTCTGCTTTTTGCCTTTGCTTTAACAGTTTTCAGTTTAATAAACAGTTTTCTCATGAAAGTCTATCAATGAATTCATTCAAATGAATTCAAATGAATTCAAATGAATTCAATTTCCATACAAAATGCTCCTCTTTACGACAAAATGTTCGTCTATTCGTTAAAAAACTCGTCTTTTCCCTTTTCCCTTTTCCCATCCTCCGGCTCATTGTTCCTTTATTCGCTTTCCCATTTTCGCCTCTTTTTTGTTCTCCAAATTCTATCCATTTGCAACATCTGTCATTCCGTTTCCCTTTCTTCTCCAAATAGATCCATTTTATACGACTTTGCTACTTGCTACAACGAATTACAACTTTGTACTAGTCGAATAACGGAAACAGCTTTATTTATCAACTTTTTTTCTTGTTCTTGAGTAAAATCTAGTACAAGAGCTACAAAAAGTAGCTCTTGTACTACGAAAAGTGGCTCTTGAAGCCCTTTTTTGCAGCTCTTGAAAGTTTTCTAACTACTTTACAGCTTTTCTCATTCAAAAACGGCTCTAGCATGATCTGTGCGCCAGAAAGCGTGTGTTTCTCTTTCGAAACCCATCATACTTTGTGCTTTCATAAACGCATCCATTCTAGTGCACTTAATTCATCATTTCTTTATGTCTAAATGCACTAGAAGAGACGCGTTTCCAAGCACAGAGTACACAAAGAAAAATAGATCTGTGTTTTGCGTGAAACTTTAAAATTCATTCAATTCAATTCTTTCAATTCTTTCAATTCTTTCAATTTTTTCAATTCTTTCAAATTTTCTTTTATTTGTCGATTTTCAATCAATTCTATAGACTTCTCACATTTCACTCAAAAAAAACCCATCTTTTCCCGTCTTTTTCGTGAAGTAAAGTTTGCGTGAAGAAAAAAGCTGTCCCTAGAGCCCGTCCGATTGAAAAAAAAAGAGCAAACTTTTTGTGAGAATCCATCTTTTTTGACGAAAAGACGAAAGTTTAGGGTTTTTTGAGAGATTCAAAGAGAAAAATCAGCTTTTTTTCAGCTTTTTCCCATTTTTTTCTCCCCTTTTCGCAGAAAAAAAAAAGAAAAATCGAACGTTTCTTAGTGGGGAAAAAGTCTGGGAAAACTTTTGAGAACAACAATTTCTTTCATTGAATATCTTTTTGTGTCAGAAATTTTCTTGTAGCTTTATTTTACTGTAGCTTTTGTACTTTGTGCCCTTTGTAGATTGTAAACGCAGCCTCTCTAATGCACTGGAAGCTCTTTAGTGCGCTTCTTTCTTTTAAAGCAACTTCTTTAAAGCGATTCGTAGCTTTACTAGCTTCGTAGCTTTACTAGCTTCGTAGCTTTACTTTGTACTTTGTGCTCAAAACGATTGTAAACGCACCCTCTCTAGTGCACTGAAAGCTTCTTTCTTTTAAAGCAACTTCTTTAAAGCTTTACTAGCTTTACTAGCTTCGTAGCTTTACTTTGTACTTTGTGCTTAAAAAGATCGTAAACGCAGCCTCTCTAGTGCACTGAATGCTCTCTGAATGCTCTAGTTCGCTTCTTTCTTTTAAAGCAATTTCGTGCAACTTTTAAAGCGATTCGTTTAACGAATGAGGAATTCAGTGCACTAGAAAGGGTGTGTTTAAAGCCAAGCATTTACAGCCTAGCACAAAGTACACCAAAGCTATGCGTCATCAGCTTCGATTTGAAATTCAGTTATATAAAAATTCAGTGCACTAGAAAGGGTGTGTTTACAGTCTAGCATTTACAGCTTAGCACAAAGTACACCAAAGCTATGCGTCATCAACTTCAATTTTGAAAGTAATAACTAAATTTTATAAGAATTTTTCTTATCAATTCCTTTTTCCTATCACTTTTATCGACTTTTCTCCCCCGTTTTCCGGTGTTTATTTGAAGGCCTAACCATCCTTTTTTTTCCTCCATTTTTCCCGTGACGCATCTGTTTGATAGACGAAAAATGTTTAGGAAAAAAGAAATTTTTATATAACTTTATATAAAAAAATCATTTTTTACAGTCCCCGTTTCCGTTTGATTACAAGTTTTGAAAGGAAAATGTTAGCTGTTAGCTTACTTTTTCTTGCTTGCCGTTAGCTTGCCTTGTTAGCTTGCCAAAAACTAGCCTTGCAAAATTTCACTACCAACGTCAATAGTTCTCCAACGAAAAAGCCGCATATCTTCACCAATTTCACTCTAATCTTTTTGATTTTGATATCAATCAATAGAAAATGAAATTCTGCGTTGATTGATATCAAAATCAAAAAGATTCGAGTGAAATCGCCCGAGATATGACGTCTTTCCGTTGGACACCTATTGACGTTCAGACCGAAAATTTGCCAGGAAAATTTGTCGAAAATTTGCGGAAAATTCTACCGGAATCGAACCAGCGAACTCGTAGCGAGCTTTCGCTTCATTTAAAAATGATTGTACCGCTTTTTATCATTGCGCCATTCAATTTTCTTTCTTTAAATTGAGATTAATATTTTGATTTGATTTGATCTTTCAAAATTTGCTTTGATTTCTTTGCTTTAATTGATTTGATTTGGTTAATTTAATTGGTTTGATTGCTTTAATTGATTTGATTGATTTGATTGATTGATTCGATTGCTTTAATTGCTTTAATTGCTTTAATTGCTTCTGAAATCAATTTGATTTAATTGATTTGAGGTTTTGATTTGCAAAATTTGATTTAAAACATATCCGAATTCATTTTTTAAACTTTTTCTGAATCTGAAATGAGTTTAAGAGCCGAATCTATCTAAAATCGATCGAAATCATTTCAAAATTGACGTTAAAACTATTGCTTTTCAAAATTTTTTGAACAAAAAAACCTATCCAAATATTGATTATTTCAAGTTTTTGGCGATTCCAAAGCTTTCAAAAATTCCATTTCTCTTATATTTTCCCATTTTTTGCACAAAGAACATTAGTAAGTCTAGCTTTTTGCGAGATTTCGATCTCTTTTTGTCTCTTTTTGTCTCTTTTTCGCCAACTTTACGACTTTTTCCCATTTTTTCCTTCAAAAAAGACCACCTGCAGTCTTTTTTTCTCTCATCCCATTTCGTTTAGTCGATTAAAATGAAAGTGAAAACTGTTCTTGGAAACATTTAGCTTTAAATTTATCTTTATATCTAAATTTTATCGATATTGATCCATATTTTATATCATTCTTTGCACAAAGTACACCGCTGCAAGCAAATTAGCTATTAAAAGTTATAGAAAATGATTGAAAACTTAATTTAGAAGTTTGTATAAGCTAATTTTGTATTTTGTATAATTGCCAGCCTTGTATCATTTTGTATTTTGTATAATTGTCAGCCTTGTATCATTTTTAAAGCCTTATATCGAATTAAAGTTTGATTTCAATTGCAAATTCTCGAAATTTCAGTGATCGCCAACTCGCCGGCAACAAACACATCGACGCCAACGACGATAAACGGCGGATTGAGTTCAATTGCCACAAGCGATCAACTCAATCAATCACCAATCCATTCGACGCAAATCAACAATCAGAATAGCCCGCAAAGTGAGCAAAAAATGATGGACAGACAGCAAACGGCAACCCCACCAGCCATCGAGGATCCCAATCACGCCCTACTTCAACAGGTTAGAGAAAACTCGTTTCGTTTCTTTTCGTTTAAAACCAACAAATGCACCAATTGAACTACAGTTTATTTCATTAGAAAATCGAATTATTTTTCTGCAAAGTAACATTAAAACGTGTTTATGTCACATTAAAACATTAAAATGTCTTATGTTTGGATTTTTTGACAGCCTAAAGTCGGGTAGTCAAGAAAGGCGACAAAATGATGCTATTTAGACACTTTGGCCCAAAGAAACCCATCTTTGTGTCAATAGATAAAAGATAGAACACAAAAAGTTAAGTATTGAGTCAAATTTTTAGAGAAACTCATACAGCCAATATCGTTTTTTATAGATCTTTACGAAAAACACGTGTTTTCACTCGCGAATTTGCTTGAAAATGAACAGAAATTGACTTAAAAAGATGGAAGATTGAACAATAGACACTTTTGATTTAGAGCAAATCATAGATTAATTGGTGAATTTGTTATTTTTCAACGAAAATATAAAAAGGAACGAAAAGATTTATTCACCAACCTAAAACAATGAGACTGATATTGCAATTGAAAGAAATGTTTATCCAGTAATGGTCAAAAATAGCAATTCTTAGAATACTATGTGATTCAGATAAGCTAGGTAAGCTTTTAATTCAATTTCCGTTCATTTTCAAGCAAATTCAAGAGTGCAAACACGTGTTTTTCGTAAAAAATCTGTAAAAATCTCTACGAAGAAATTGGCTGAGTGAATTTCTCTGAAAATTTAGCTATACATCAAACTTTTTGTTCTCTATATTTTATCTATTGACACCAAGATAGGTTTCTTTAGGGCAAAATCGACAATTGGGTTAAGATTAGTCGAATCATGATTGCTTGAGCTTGCCCCAATTATCATAACTCGGATCTTTATAGAATAAACATTAGGGTAGGGTTACGGTCACACTTTAACGTCATAAAACTAAAATCAAGCTAATCGAGCATTTTAGCTGCTGGCAATGGTCGCGCTGCACCAGCAACTCGACCCGAAAATCGCGGCCACCACGACGAATCCGCTGTTGGCGCTGTGCAATCCGCAATACGCTCATCTTATCCCCTTGCTGCAGCAATTACAAGTAAACAAATTTTTTCTCGATCTTGAAACCAAACTTTTTCTTTAGGTGCAACAACAAATGCAGCAGCAGCTCGCCGCTCAGCAACTCCAGCAAACACTGCTCCGACAGCATCAAGCGAGCATGGCCGCCCCGCAAATTTCCACAAATCATTCAAGTAAGGTTTTAAAACTAGATACTGATTAGAAATGGTAATTTATTGGTGTCTACTAGACATTATGTCTATTAATTGATGTCTACTACCCGTCGTAGTTTGGAAAAATTTCCAACTAGGATTCTTAGGTGCAAAGGGTTCTTTAAGAGTTTTTAAACTTGTTTATGTGTATCTAAGTCGATTTATTCATATATCTAAACTCTAAACATTTCAATTTTCCAGTTGTCTCCCAGTCGCAGACGCAATTTTCGCAGGTTGGCCAAACGACGATTCCCCAGCCCACGCCGCCCACTCTGTGGAGTCCACCGGTTCGTTTAGAGCCGAATTTTCTATTTTAAACCTTGTATTTATGATATTTTGTTTACTTATCCACTAGATTTTTTTGCTTATTTTGATGATTTTCCCACCATTTTCCAGGTGACCGCATCCCCGCCCGAGTCGGTGTCTGAGCTCTCGGAGCTGTCGCCCCGACCTGGCTCTCCCCCCTTCAAGGTAGAAATTTAAAGAAGAATATCTTAAGCTGCATGTTTTGGGGTTTTTGTTTTTGATACTGTACTTATTTCTGTAAGCAAATCAAATTCCCAATCTTAAGGATCCACACCAGTTGGCTGATCCGCAACTGCTGCGAATCTTGAACAACCACACCGAGCTCACCGAGAAGGAGCACATCGCGGTGACGGTTTTGGCAGGAATGTGCAACATGCGGTGAATGGGCGATCGATGGAAAGCCCGGTCCTCTTTAGGGCCAAATAAATAATTTTTCCTCTTTTTTTTTCATTTTCTTTTTCTCTTCTTTTTTCCTCTTCTTTAGGCAATCCCTAGGATCCTCCTTTCTCAATTTTCTCATCAAAATTTAGTCTTTTCAATCATTTTTTTCCCCAATCTCTCCTCCTTTTCAGGTATTTTACGGTAAAAAAAGCGCAAAAAACGGCGTCTCTTGTGTGACGGTAAAAAAAAAGTCGAAAAAACGTGAAGTCCCTTTTTGTTTTGTACACATTTTGTTTTTTTCTTTGGATTTCTGATTTTTTACAGAAAAAAAAATGGGTGGATGGATGAAAGAGGAGAAAAATCAGCACAAAAAGCAGCTTCGGCATTTTCCAGTACAACAGCTGGATTCGATTTTTTTTTTTGAAAGCAAATAGTGCAGTGTTTATTAGATAATACTAAGCTTTAGTTATCTAAGTTATCTTTAGTATCTAAAGTTATATCTTTAGTATCTAAAACTTAATATAAACCTTTATTTCTAATGCATTAGGTCCCAAACGTTTGCAAGAAAAACGAGCCAGGCCAGTGCGCGCCTCCCAAAATCCATCCACTCCACAAAAACTCTTAAACATAAAATTTAAATCTCGAAACTTATGTAAATTTGGATATTGTTGATAATGTTATTTACTTGTGTACCCCAATTTTTTTTCCTTTTTTTCACACACTTTCGGGATCGTTCTTTTTTGTGCCCCGAATTTCCCCAATCTATGGTTTTTTTATGTTCTCGTGACGAGTACGGTGTATTTTTCTTATACCTTTTTGTCTTTAATAAACTTTAAAGTCATTTTCCTTCAAAAACAGTCAAGAAAATTTGCATTTAAAGAAGACAAACGAATTATCTGCCGTAATCCCTGTACTTAGACTACGTAATGGTGCTAACTCTTAATTTTGTTGTTTTTGATAAAAATTCTTTGAAAAGTTGATGTTTTGACCTGAAATTGAGGAAGGAGATTGCTTAAGTTGATCTAAAATCGATTTTTCAAAGAAAACCAAGAAAGAAAAGGTAAAACGATTCGAACCTGCAAGCAATAGGCTCGTATGCGAGCATTCTACCACTCGGCCACCATTGCACTGCCTGCTTTCCTTATGAAAGCCCTTAAGAATATATCCCAAAAACGTTTTAGAGTATTAGATCAAAAAAAGAACCGCATTGGAACCGTATTAGATCAAAAAAAGAACCGTATTGGAACGTATTGGAATTCCTCGCGATTTCGCGTCATTCCGTCGTCAAGAACTACCGTAATACAAAGAATTAAAGCATTACGGTAGTCCAAATCCATCGAATTCAAGTATTACAGTAGTCTTAAAAGACCCAAAACTATTAAAACTACAATTCAAGGACTAGAATAGTTAGAAAAGAATCGTAATCGAAAATTTGGACCAAATTCTAAAGCATTCCAAGCTTCCCGAGCTTCCCGAGCTTTAAATTTTCCCCTTTTACTCTTTTTTTCAATCTGTTTTTGTTAATATGCATATATTTTCTCAAGAAAAATTATAAAAAGAATAAAATTTGAAAATATTTGAAAAATATTTGTTTTTTCTTATCACACAAAGCCGAAAAGAGGGATCCTCTCATCCCCATTCCTCAGAGGTATCCCCATACCAGATTCGTGTGTTAAATTATCACATTTTAGGTATGCGGATACCTCTGAGGAATCCCCATACCTCTCATCCGCATACCATTCAATCCCCATATCTCCCATGGGGATACCTGGCATCCCCATACCTCTCATCCGCATACCTCCAATCCCATACCTCTCATTCCCATATCTCCAATCCCATACCTCCAATCCCATACCTCCAATCCCCATACCTCTTATCAGACACGAAATTGCTCGTTTTTTGGCATCGATTTTTTTTGACTCAATTTGGCAATTTTCAATCGATTTTGCAGGGGAAATGTTGAAATTTTTAAAAACTAAATGTTTATTTCTTCTTTGTTTTTGATTTTTTTTTTATTTCTTTCTGATTTTCTTTCTTTTTCTTTTATCGTTTTAGCACCTAAAAAGACTCCAGTCTGTAGTCTGTAGTCTGTAGCCGATTTGACAGCTCGAAACCCTCAAAAAAGTGCTTTTTCTTTCCCTCTATTCAACATTAAACACAAAATTTCTGAAATTGGATCTTCGAATTTGTTTTAATGTTTTAAACAATGTTTGTTTTAAACAAGCAATGTCATCAATTTTTAGCAATGTCATCAATTGTTTATGAAGGAGAGGCGCCCGAGTCGGATGATGAGACAATTTTCACCGCTCATCAACCAAACACAAGCAAAAGGTAGCAGGTAATTTGAAGTAAAATGTTTCTATTGGGTTGATGGAAAAGTCCTTTCCGATTTTTTGGGAGAGTACCTTAAATTTGTCGAATTTTGACGTTTTATAGCTCATCCTAAAGCTGAATTCAAGACGGATCGATTGGTAAAAGCCGTTTTGAGATATCTCCTTTCTAAAAGTTTTTACAGCTATTTTAGTAAAGGAGCCAAAAAATGGCTGTTTTCACGTTTCGTTAGTTTTTCGTGCAGAAACCTAGGCTAAAAACATGTGTTTCGTGATCGGCGTCAAAAATAACCCCTAGACACGCATTTTCAGAATCTTGAAGAGAAAATTGAAGATTTTTTTGCTCAATTTTTGCTCAATTTTTTTTTGGCTCTGCCGCCCTTTACTAAAATAGCTGTAAAAACTTTTAGAAAATAGATATCTCAAAACGGTTTTTACCAATCGATCCGTCTTGCATTCAGCTTTAGGATGAGCTATAAAACGTCAAAATTGGACAAATTTAAGGTACTCTCCCAAAAAAGGACTTTTCCATCAATTTGAGCTTTTGTAGTCGTCAAGTTACAGTACTTACTTACCACAAAGTACAGTACTTAATTATCACAAAAGCACTTAAGTTACCATACAGTTCAGTGCCAGGTCCGTAGCCAAGCACGCCTGATTTTAAAAAAGTTTTCCCCCAAAATCAAAACTTTTTTGAAGGAAAAGTTGTGTGTTTCTTACTGGATAGCGATTTTCTTTTAGGGTGCAATATTGCGGATTTGCAAATTTCCCTGCAAGATTGGACCCTGCTATATTGGACCCTGCAAGATTGGACCCTGCGAGATTGGACCCTGCAAGATTGGACCCTGCGAGATTGGACCCTGCAAGATTGGACCCTGCCATATTGGACCCTGCCATATTGGACCCTGCCATATTGGACCCTGCTACATTGGACCCTGCTATATTGAACCCTGCTATATTGGACCCTGCAAGACTGAACCCTTCCATATTGGACCCTGCCATATTTTCTTAAAAAAAAATCTGCATTTTTCTTTAAGGGCACCAATTTTTTCCTCAAAAAAGTCTTTCTGGCTACGGAATGGTTCAGTGACATTATCTAGTACCCAAAATATCGTACTTAAGCTACAGTACTTAATTATAATACAGTATCTACTATATATAAAGCAGAAGAGACGTCTGTCCGTCCGTCTGTGCGCAGCCATTGAGAAAAAGGGGCGGGGCTTAGATTGCGTGGAAAACGCGATCGTTAGTGAGCGTTTTCCGCTGGTTTTTCGATAATTCTATGAAAAGTTTTAAGAAAACCCCCAAAGCCAACTATTTACGAGGGAGAGGCGAGTGAAACGGACGAGGAAAGCGAAAAAGCCGAAATGTCGAAAATCCCAGAAGTGATCAAGGCTTTTGACATGCCAGTACCCGGAAAAAGCAGGTTTAGTATTTTGAAGTAAATAGGGAACAAAAAGAAAGATTCTTGAGCTATTTGAGCTCATTTTATTCTTTTTTCAAATACTGTTTTTGATTTAAAAAGATCTCCCCACACTTCTGAAAAGCTTCTAACAAGGGAAAAGCAAAAATAGTAGACCTAATGAGATACGTTTCGATCTCAACTGAGATCGTTAAATCATTCGACGCAGAATTTCACGCTGATTTCGAATCTGTTTTCGGGGGTAAATGGGTGGCGGCTTCAATTTTAATTATGAAGTACTGAGTTTTTTGAAAGGTGAAAGGAAAAACCCCCTAAAAACATCCAAGCTCAACGTCCTCGGTAGTATAGTGGTTACCGTATTCTCTCTAATAGTAGTGCGCACTACTATTTTTTGAACCCCCTCCTGGACCGCAATACTATTAAAGAGTGCACTACTATTAAAGAGTTTTATCATTTACCAAAATAAGACAGATAGAAGATTTGTTCCAAAAATTCTTGCAACTCTTTCACGTACTCCTTTGGCTCCTTTTGACATACAGTTGTGGGCCGGCGAGTTGACAATTACCGTAGTAATTGTTTGTGTTTGTGTCTTGACAAACAACAAAAAGATGTTTTTGCCCTTTGCACAACAATTTTAGATTTTTTGCTAACTTTTTCATGTGAAGAATAGTTAATAAATTAATAAAAAAAAGCCTCACTTGCTTGAATAGCTTTAGAATGTCACATAAACATAAAGTCAAAAAGGTTTAGATGAAAAAGAAGCACCAGAAATTCAAATTTTCGTGGGTGCACTACTATTTTTTGAACCCCCTCCTGGACCGCAATACTATTAAAGAGTGCACTACTATTAGAGAGTGCACTATTATTAGAGAGAATACGGTAGCATCCGCGTCTGTCACATGCGAGACCCGGGTTCAATTCCCGGCCAGGGAGAAGTTTTAGTTTTTTAAAAGGTGATTAATTTAGGAAAGACTACCGTAACCTGTCAGCTATCCATAAGCCTAATTTTGCTCAGATTCTATGTCGAATCAAACTGTGAATCGAATCGAAACAAAATCAAGTAGAAAAGGCAAAATTCCGATCAAAACTGGTGGTTTAATTACAGTAGTTTTCGAAAATAGATGTCTTTTAGAAAGTAGATGTCTTAAAAAGCTAAAAAAACTAGCCAAAAAAAGAAACACTTAACAATTTTTTGAGTTCTCGTTGTTGAGCGCTCGAGTGAAAGCGCTCTTTAAATTTTTTTCATTTTTCCAAAAATCCAAAAAAATCTAGCTGACCATTGCAGAGGTTTAAAGAGAAAAACTCAGTTTTTTTGTAAAAAGAAGTTTTTTTGTTGGAGTGAATGGTCAGCCAAACCCTAGCCTTTTTTTATTTGATTAGTGCGTAAAAAAAACGCGCAAACTTTGAAGGGAAAAACTTCTCGCAAACAGCTGGTCAAAGAAAATGGGGCTGAGGTTTAAAGTGGCACAAATGATCTTTGTTGAAAGAAAAATGGGGATCTAGGAAATTCTAAAGTTTCGGCTGTACTTTGTGCTCAGTTTTGTAAAAGAATAGTTTCTGGGGCACTCAATTCACCAGTTTCCCTGTGAAAAATCGAGTACCAGAAACTGTACCAGAAAGTACAGTCACTAGAAAAGTGAGGAATTCACTGCGCCAGGAGGCGGCGTTTACAGATTTGAGCACAGAGAAAATAAATGCAAATTGATCAAGCATCAGATGGCTCTTCGACAGTGATTTTTGGGGGGTCAATTGAGTGGAGTTTTTGGTTGCATTGAGTGATCCTTTCATCGTCTTTTTGATCGCCTTTTGATCGACTCCTTCTATTTCTCGATTCATCTACATCACAAAGGACAAGCACACCACAAAAGACAAGTACACCACAAAGGACAAGTACACCACAAAAGACAAGTACATCACAAAGGACAAGTACACAAAAAATTGGAAATATTTGGAACCATATTGAAACCATATTGGAACTGTATGCGAACCATATTGGAACCATATTGGAACCATAAATAAGGGAAATAAGTTGAGCTATTTGTAGAAAACTGATTTATTTAAGAAAACTGGTTTAATCAAGAAAACTAGTTTAATTACCTATGAAGAGTATTCCAGAGGGTGGAACAGAAAAAGAACTTACAGAAAGAAAGTACAGCTCAAAATTTCAACAATCTTTTTGCCTTTTTAGACCCCGTGTGCATATCGATGAGCGCCTCGAGCAACAGTGGAAGAATCTAGGTATTCATTGACAAACTCTTGCAATCTGTAATGGTCTAACTCATCTGACTCATCGGTCTGACTTGGCTAATCGCTGAATTGATTCATCTAGCCTCCGATACCCTGGTGACACAATGGAGACGCAATCAAACCGCGCAACGAATGATCAATGACACGTTGACCCACTCAGAAAGCGCATTTCAAAGTATTCAGGTATTGAAGAGTTATTTGATTAGTTATTTGATTAGTCAAAAAGACACCTTTTTCACCGTTCTCTTTCTATCTGCCTCTCTCCAAAAATCGGCGTTTTTTCAGACAAAATCAAATAAAATAGAAACAAAACGGACATGAAATTTGAAATCTTTGACGATTTTTACCTTAAAAATGCTTCTTTTCTGGACTTTCTGAACAGCCTAATACTATATATATGCTTTATTCATTCATGGGGGCGAATAGAAGCGAATCAGATAATCATAACTGCATATAAAATACTAGTATTGACCTAGTATTGACATAATACTAGTATTGACCAATGAAATATCATCACAAAATTAGATCGCTTCTGAAGTGAAAAAAAAATGGTCAAATATGGTGGAAGTAATTTTCTCTAATCGGCACAAAAACGCTTACGAAAATGATCAGAAAGGCTTTAAGCTGGCTTTAAGCTGTAGGCTTTAAGCTGAAAAGCACTCCCCGTTAATCTAAAATTCCAGTCTAAAAGAAAGGAAGATTGTCAGATTTACCAGTCATAGGGAATTCTGTCATTTACCAGGCATAGGGAATTCTATCATTTACCAGTCATAGGAAATTCTGTCATTTACCAGTCATAGGGAATTCGGTCATTTACCAGTCACAGAGAATTCTGTGACTTTTTCGATTACTTTCCCTATTACTTTCCCTATTCCTCTTACTTTTAGTCAACGTCGTCGAAAGTTCGCCTGATCACCGACAATTTGTGTCAACTCGAGCACGTCGTCGAGCAACTTGTCGACAATGGGTTGAGACTGTTGCCAGAGAAGATCAAAACGAATTTCCAAATGCCAAAAGAATTTTTGTGATTTAGTAAATAAATGATTTCCTCATACACATTTTCTTGAATGATTTCCTTATACACAAACACATTTGACTCCTGGATCTTGCTCTTTCAATAGACTGAGATAGACATAGACTTAGATAGACTTAGATAGACTTAGATAGACTTAGATAGATGTAGACTTAGATAGATGTAGACTTAGATAGACTGATAAGTCTGCGAATGTATCAAAAAATTTAAACCAATTGAATCCGAGTTTTAATTGAGTTCGAGTTCCAAAGTTCCATTTTCCGAGTTCCATTTTCCGCGCTTTGGAACGTCAATATGCTCAAATTTTTGAGAGCAACTTTTGCCTTACATTTGGCTGTATTTCCGCCTTACATTTTGCTATATTTTTCCCTTATATTTGGTTGTCTTTTTGCCTTGCATTTGTCTGTATTTTTGTTACAAATTCTGCATTCTGTTAAACCATTGTTTCACTGAAATATTAGAAGAACAATGCTGACCTGATCGTCTGATTTGTCTGATCTGACCGACTTGAGTGTTTTCTTGATGTTTTCTTGATTCTCACAGGATTTCAGGATTCATTAGACCAAGTAGTTTTCTTAAAAAACCCTTTAAAATCTCTAAATAAGCAGTTTCCCCATTTTGAGCGTTACTATACTAAAATCTTTAAGTTTTCCTTTAATTTTGCCTTCTGGAAACAGGAAGTGGCAGAGCTGGAAGCCAAGAACAGAGGAATAGTAATCAAATGACAATATTGTAAAGGGAAAAATGGAAACCCTTGATTCAAAAAGATCAAAACGATCAAAAAGGGTCGATTTTCTATGACTTTTCAAATTGTATGTGCTTTGGACGGATCCGTGCTAACGATGTGCATTTGAGTCAAAAGAGGGAAGAGAGGAATCCCCCAAGGATTGTAAATTCGTTTATTGCCTTGTCATTCCCCTTTCAACACCCAAAACATCATGAAACATCTGCTCCTTTTTTCGTTTAGTATTTGAATTCTCAAAAAAGCCGACTTTTAAATATTTGTAGCCTTTCTTAGCCATTGTTTTACTTTGTTTTACTTTGTTTTCAGTTTACGCATCCGCTCCTTTTTCGTTTAGCATTTGAATTCGTTCATAGGTTCATATCCTGATCTTGATCCATATCTGATCTTGATCCATATCCTGATCATGATCCATATCCTGATCCAATCCTGATCCAATCCTGAGCCTTGGAAAACTCCAATCGGGCCTTCTTGTGCAAAAGCGTCACAGCCGGTTGCTTGTTCAACAATTATCGATCGATATGTGGATTTTTCATTGACGGCTCGCCAAATGGAGTCGGAGTTAGGCTAAATCAGCTGCTGGCCAGGCCGGAACAGAGTTGATCAAACCAGGCCAGGCTAGAGAAAATCCTGGGCTAAACCTGGGCTAAAACTGGCCTTTCTTATAAGAGAACCTTAGCCACCTGGCTTTTTTAAAATCAATTTATCGAACCAGCCCAACCAGCCCAACCAACCCAACCAACCCAACCAACCCAAGCAGCCCAACCAGCCTAACCAGCCCAACCAACCCAACCAACCCATCGAACCCAACCAACCCAACCAACCCATCGAACCCAACCAACCCATCGAACCCAACCAACCCATCGAACCCAACCAACCCATCGAACCCAACCAACCCATCGAACCCATCGAACCAATTCAACCAACCCATTTTGATTCAACCGTTGAATGGATATGCCCCAATTTTACGCACTCCACTTCCTTTCATTTTCCTCAAAATGAACTAGAAATCACAAGAAAACAAAAAAAAAGTGCACCAGAAAGGAAGTGATTTGCAGAAAAGGGTACATTTTTCAAGCACAAAGTACACCAGAAATTTGTTCTTTATTTAGAAATCCCAGTTCTAGGTGTCCAAAGATGTGAATCTGTTGCTGTGGAGAGGGGCTGACCAGCTGTTGACACCGTTCATTTGCCCTAAATTCAAATGGGGATTATCCCCCCACCCACCAGCCATTCCTTAAGCGCATTCGCTCACAAATAGAGCGTATTGACAAGGAGCAGTTCCTCTATTTTATGACCTAAAAAGTCAATGAGTTTATCGTACTTAAAATGTTTAAATTAAAATCCATAACATTTTCTACATTTTCTATTTTCTTTCTAAGATTCATATCCAATCAGAAAACTGTGAAAGCTGTTGTATTCAAATCATTATTTCCTTCAGCGAAATTCTTCTTACTTTTACTTTTAGCTTTTTAATTCAGAAGTCTAGATTTCTTCCTTAAAGCTTTGAGGCTTCGAAAATCATCTTTCTTTTCTTAAAGTCTTTACTTAAAATCTTAGTTTTAAGTCTTGATTCTATTGGGTTGGTGAATTGAAAACTGCCGGGCTTTGAACTAAAATTTGAACTAAAATTTATTCATCATAAAACCATGAATTCATTCCAAATAATTTCCATTATTATTAACGACTTCTGCTCATTTTATAGGCAATTTGCGAATTCCTCTTTCGTAGTGGGATTTTGGTTTGTGTGTGAGACTCAAAAATGGAGGACTAGAGACTCAAAAATGGAGGAATGTCCCAGTTTGAGCACTTTCTTCAAAAGAAACCCATTTTTGTGTCAATAGAAAAGTTGTAGAGAATCAAAAATTAGGCTTATAGCCAAATTTCCAAAAAGATACACTTAGTAGTTTCGCTTAAAATGCAAGTTTTGTGAAAATTCGTAAATTTGGCATTTCTTAAAAACCCGTTTTTGAATCGTTCTGAAAATTTGGATATAAGCTTCATTTTTGATTCTCTACAACTTTTCCATTGACACCAAAATGGGTTTCTTTTGAAGAAAGTGCTCAAACTGTCACATACGACAGTAGCCCGCAGTTTGAAAACTGCGGGCTACAATTCACCAACCCAATAAATTGAAAATAATAAAATAAAAATAATAAAAAAAAACCCATTTTGGTGTCAATGGAAAAAAAAAAAGAAAAAGACTGAAAAAATAAAACACGACGAAAGACTGAAAAATTCTTTTTGGCGGGGTCCTTTTATTGCGTCGGGTTACGGTAGTTTCCGACGTTTGGTGCGGAAACGTCTGAAAGGCAAAGTGTACGGTGGACGGTCACCTGTCGTCAGAATTTTATCATTTCAAGAGAGAATTCCTTTAAATTGATTTAAAGTAAAATGAAATTAAACCCAATTTGTTTAATTACTTTTTTAATTATTAATTATTTATTATTATTTTCAATTTATTGGGTTGGTGAATTGAAAACTGCGAGCTATTGTCATATGTGACAGTTTGAGCACTTTCTTCAAAAGAAACCCATTTTGGTGTCAATGGAAAAGTTGTAGAGAATCAAAAATTAAGCTTATATCCAAATTTTCAGAACGATTCAAAAACTGGTTTTCAAGAAATGCCAAATTTACGAATTTTCACAAAACTTGCATTTTAAGCGAAACTACTAAGTGTATCTTTTTGGAAATTTGGCTATAAGCCTAATTTTTGATTCTCTACAACTTTTCTATTGACACCAAAATGGGTTTCTTTTGAAGAAAGTGCTCAAACTGGGACATTCCTCCATTTTTGAGAACCGCAAATCCTTAAAAATAAAGAATTTTTTTTTTTTGTTCAAATTTTGTAAATCGTTTTCATCAGTCCTCCCTCTATGAACCCTTTTTATTAACAATAAAGTTTTTTTTTGGTTTTCTCAGATATTTTCTTCATTCTGATGACTTTCTTCATTCCATAGATTCTGAGGATCGGAAGGTTTAGACACCTAGACGTCAGACAGATTTTTATGCTGCTTTTGCTTTCATAAGAGTTTTCCCCGCAATTCTTAGGCCAGACCCCAAGGGTTTTGCTTTTTTTCAGAAAGAGGAAAGGGGGTCTTTTCACTTCCAAACTATACACGCCCGAATGCTTCCGATTCTCGCGGTGAAGGGAAAAGAAAAGAAGGACTCGGCTGGAAATGGATGGAAGGGAGGAGAATGAACAATGCCCCCAGCCAGTCCCCTCCAGTCCCCTCCAGTCCCCCCAGTCCCCTCCACTCCCCCCAGTCCAACCCGACCTCCGCAGTCCATGTCTTCCCTCAATTCTATGGACTCTATGGCCTCAGAATCTATGGACCCTGCCTATTTTTGGTCCACAATCTTCTCTCTCAATCTTTTCTCTTGAAAATCTTTGACTAACTTGAAATTTTCAAAATGTTTTTGTGAATTATGGAATGAATTTTTTATATAGCTCTACAAAACGATGATTTTCTCAAAAACCAAAAGAGTTGACAGTTTTTTTGTTTAGTTGACAAAGAGTTGACAGCTTTTCAAAATCTATTGGCATTTCTTTTTACTAGATTTGTGTCAAAATTTGTGTAAAAATTTAAAATTTCATTCATTTGCAGCCAAAAAGATGCATGAAACGCAATACTATATTGCGCTCCTTGCAGCTCCTCGTATACTATTAGTGTGACATTAAATCTCTGTGATTAACAATCCAGCTCTATCCTATTCCATTAAAAATCTCATAGTCTGTCTTTGAGCCAAGTCCAGGCCTTTTTCTGGAAGTGCAGGGTTGTTGTGGAGTCCAGAGTTGGTCTGACCAGAGTTGGATCAAGTCTGACCGGGTTGGGTTCAAGAGCCAGATTCAGACCTGAGATCTAAATAGTCAAAACGATTCGAAACCATCTTCAGAGCGACCGAAACGGTTTCTCTGAAGTCTTGGAGAAAAATCAGCACAAAAGGCGCCCCAAATCACCGCAGAACCACCGTCAAAGTTTCGAATTTAATATTTAGAGCATCTGTCGATAATCTGTCTGCTAGAATTTGATACAGGCCCAATTCTCACAGTCAACCCAACCAGGCCTTCAAATTTCACTTTCAAAATCCCAATGCAGCAGTGAGATGAAACTCAAACAATGTCAAGGCTTTGTTCAGCAAAAAAAGAGCTCACAAAGCTCAAGCAAACATTCAATTAGGTGAATAAACGATGTAGTGAAAGGGAATGAGAAAAAGAGACAAGTTGTGGCAAATATTTGAAGAGAGGT